TTGCCCCCTGCACTGTCTGACAGGAGGCTGTAGCGAGGTGGGTGTTGGTCTCTTCTCCCAAGTAACAAGCGATAGGACAAGAGGAAATGGCCTCAAGTTGTGCCAGGGGAGGTTTAGGTTTGGTATTAGGAAAAATTTCTTCACTGAAATGATCATCAAGCACTGGAATGGGCTGCCCATGGAAGTGGTTGAGTCTCCATCCCTGGAGGTATTTAAAAGAAGGGTAGATGAGGTGCTTAGAGACGAGGTTTAGTCGTGGACTTGGCAGTGTTCCATTAATGGTTGGACTTGATCTTAAAGGTCTTTTCCAACCTAAGTGATTCTGTGATTCTGAGTTCATAAGGCTTTCCAAGGATGTGCTGGAGAGCAGGGGTGGCTTTTTATTTTCCTGTGTTGTATAAACCATATAACTTTGAATTTCCTTATACAGCTACTCAAATTTTATTGCTGAAGAAGTAGAGTAGCACCTACTTCTGTGTCTGTGGGATTCTTGGTAAGATCAAACTGTGATTTTAAAGCTTGGTGCTTTGCAGTGAGAAAGACTTGGTGGTGGTTCTCCCTGCCAAGTCTCCCAGCTCTTCATTTTAGGAGAGCTGTTTTTCACTGCTACTTTTCAGAGCCTAAAATCCACTCTGTTTTCATGCTTCAGAGACCTGTTGGCTGTGATTTTTGAGATAATTTCTGCAGTTGAGATCTTCATATGAGTAAAGATACCTGATCTACTTTTCTCACAGACCTACTTTATGGTCTGTTTGACTAGTTACGGGAGATGAAGGTGCTAGCTGCAGGGCTTTGAGGCAGGAGTTCTGGGTAAGAGTATGGAAGAAGTATACAGAAAGCTGCTGCTGAGACAAGAAAACTGGTATTTCTAAAAGTGAGCAGGAGTCGTTTATGTGGATATTAGTAAACAATGAATCTGAAGGATCTAATCCTTAAAAATATAGAATTCATAACAGAAAAAAGTGCGGTTTTTAAAAAAAAATTGTATTGGGATTTGGTTTATTGTAGTAGCAGTTGCGGTACTGTATCAGTCGTGTTGTGTTCTTGTGTAGAAAGAGGCTGCTGCCCATGTTAGTGCAACTTACCTGCTGACCGCTCGGCCTGAGGTTCTCTAGGTGCTGGCTTGATGGGAAAAGGGACTTTGGACCCCATAACAGCTTGTGTAGCGTCTCAGCTGTTCGTTCAAGCACTGAAACTCCATGTCCCACCTTCCCTTGTCTTTCCTCAGAACTATTTGTGGGGCGGTGCCTTTAACCAGGCTGGGACTGGGTGTTTGCTGGTCTGGTGGATTTTGTTTGGTTTTCTTACTGCTTCAAAAATAAGGTGGGAGTGGAGAGTTTACAGGGTTTGCATCTCAAAAGTTGTCTGTGCAGATAAAAGAGGTGATATGGGATAGGAGCTGGCGTACCCAGACAATAACTTGTTAAACTGGCAACAAGTTATTGAAAGCTTTATGTCTGGAAGGTATGGCCCTGCTCAAAACTGTTGAACTTAAAAGAAACGTGATCTGCACAGCCTTCAGTTGGAGAGTTTAGTGATTTCATCTTTACGTACGTCACGACCTTTGATGGGGACCATTTTGTTCGGTTCTGTTGGCTCTGGTATTAGTTAGTAATAATAATTATGTAAAACCAGTGTGTTTTTACACAGTATTTGAATGAAGGGTAGTATAATTTAAAGTAAAAAGGCATCTTCCTTGTTTTAATGATTTGTTAAATTCAGTCTAAGGCTTTCAGAAAATTAATAGCAATAAAAGCACAGAGAAAGTAATTTTTCTGTAAGTTTTTGAGCACATTTTCTGTAGAAAATACAAAAATACTTATGTAATAAAAAGTAACGATTTTTTTTTGTTGTGCTTGTCAGTATGGTATCATAGTGTTAACTGAGCAAGCTCAAACTCAAGCATTTTTCATTACTTAAGAAATGGAATAAAAAGGTTGATTCGATCCTAGCTGCCTATTATACAAGGAAGAAACAAACACGAGCATGGCGACTGAGCTTAATTGGTAATTTTGTTATCTAAACTGTCAGCCACACAGCAGCTTTGATAGATCTGTAACTTTCTCCTAGTTTTTACTATAAAAATAATTACTTTCCTCATTAGTGTCTAGTGGAGCAGTTAGGCAGTAGAGTTGAGCTGGTCTGAGGGTCCTTGGCGGGTAAAAGCGTATTCCTGCTTCCCTCTCCACCGTGCTGTCTTTTCTCCCATCCTTGGTTTCTGCTCTGTTGGATCTTGCACTCCTCTTCATAGGCTGATTCAACTTGTTAAACAGGTCAAAAACGGGTTTGGTTTTTTTTTTTTCTGTGATGTTTTTCAGCTGATTTTGCAAGTTGAGTCAGTTTACCAGGAGGGGCACAGGACTGCAGAGAAAGTAGTGGGAATATATAGCCAGGATCAGGGGGTGAGTAGATGAGGGAAAAGCTGCTGCTTCCCTTCAGCTGCAGTCAGGTGCCCATACTCTTCTGTTATCTCTGATTGTGCCTAAATATTGGAAAGGCTTCTTTTTTTCATTTACTTTTTTCTTTGGGAAATCTCATGTTCTTCATTTTTTGGTACTAATAGGAATATTTTAGCGTAACAAAAAATTGGGAATGTTTTTGAACGTGGCTTCTCAAGAAACCCAGCAATCCCTTCAAACCATTAAGCCAGTTTAGAAAACATTTTTATGCTGTTTGATAAAATCTGTTAATTTTGGGATGGCTTTGTTTGCTTGTGTTTTAGGTTGCCTGATAGTTGTGTCAAAATAATTCTTCCACTGAGAAAGCTTTTGTAACCAAGAACCATGACAGCTGCAGAGAATGTGTGTTACACATTAATCAATGTTCCGATGGATTCAGAGCCACCTTCTGAAATCAGCTTAAAAAATGATCTAGGTAAGTAATCGATGATGATTTGAAGGAAACTCCCATCTTACCTGAATTACTTCCTATTTTCTCGTTGTGCCTTCCCTAGAATATTGTTTACCTTTTATAAACTCAAACAAGTCAATTTCATGTTTATTTTGTTCTGTTCATTTTGAAATGTGTACTTTCCTTTTCTTTTGAGAAACTGCATAATATTTATCTTAGGTGTTTTGGTTTGGTTTTCTTCCCCCCCCCCCAGTCTGTGCAAAAATGTGAAACCTTTTTCTGTCTTTCTGTTTGAAGTAATTTGGGTTTAGGCAGACTTAAGTGATGCAGTGATAGCAGGAAGTCGTCATATCGCTTGTTAAGTGCACTGCTGTATCTTGCTAGCAGAAATGGCAGTGTTAGTATTTAGTATACATACGGCATCAGAGTGCATTGTGGCATTCTGGTATAAAAGGCTGTTTAAATTTAAGCGTTGAAACAGTAATGAAATTTGTTGAACTCTGTTAATTCCAATATGTTGATCCTAGAATTAAGTCTGAACGCCATGCTTATTCTTTAAGTATCTCTTGCTTTCTCTTTATCCTTTTAGTAGGTAAGGCTGTGAATTTTACTGATATGCTATCTTGTACTCCTTCAAAGGGGGTTTGTATCTTGGCACTGAAGATCGGTATTCCTCTCACACTACCTGTGACATGCTAGCCTTCCTGATTTCATTTCTTCCTCCCCTAGAAAAAGGAGATGTCAAATTGAAGACGGAGGCCTTGAAGAAAGTAATCATTATGATTCTGAATGGTGAAAAACTGCCTGGGCTTCTGATGACCATTATACGTTTTGTACTGCCTCTCCAAGATCATACCATCAAAAAACTGCTGCTTGTCTTTTGGGAGATCGTGCCAAAGACCACTCCAGATGGCAGGCTTTTGCAAGAAATGATCCTTGTATGCGATGCATACAGAAAGGTAGCCCATTGTTTATTTCATTGCTTATGTTACTATACTGGGTCTTCGTAGACGAAAGGATATAATTTTGTGTTTTTAATAAATGGAAATACTGGGCATAAACCGTTTTTATTTCTTAACTGTTACGTCTCAGTGCTTCAGAGCTGGATAGTTGTAGATAACCGGCAGACCTACTACCAAGGAATTTTTATGTGTTCTTTTACTACTACGACTTAACAAAAACTGAGTGCTCTTTGTTTCCAAGTCAGTGAACCTCAAAGATGAGGGGTAACCTAATTACCATCTTCATAGTGTCTTGGGACAAGCCATGGGTCATAAAAGGATGATATTTTTGGAATAACTTTTTTGTGGTGTATTTGGGACACTCCTTCACAAAGATGATAAGGTCCTTCAACTTCTTTGGGAATGAGTTGGAAGCAGATGAACTTCTTTCACAGCCCTAGTAATCAGAGAAAATGCATGCAATGCAGAAAAAAAAATCCCACAGGCTTTGCAAGTTTTACTACACAGAAATACTCATTTTTAAATATTGTGGGGCAGCAGTGTTTTAAGGACGTATTTCATGAGAGGACAATGAAGTGTCGTTGTGGATGTTGGGAACGTGTACCATGGGAAAGCTGAGTGTGGGAGGAAGCTAGCAAGTGCATTCATCTGAGCTTAACAATTAGGCTGAAGTCTGGCATTTCAAATATGTTTCTCGTTGACTTTAGGATCTTCAGCACCCTAATGAATTTATCCGAGGCTCTACTCTCCGTTTCCTTTGTAAGCTGAAAGAGGCAGAACTGTTGGAGCCTTTGATGCCAGCCATTCGTGCATGTCTAGAACATCGTCACAGCTATGTGCGCAGAAATGCAGTTCTTGCAATTTACACGATTTATAGGTAAATGCCAGAAACGATTTAAAGTTGTAGATGCAGAAGACCAAGGCTAGCTTTAGTGATCTGGATAATTTTTGAGATCTCCTAAATATTTGTCAGTCACTGGTGTGCTGTTTGGTTTGGGTTGTTTTTTTTTTTTCCTGTTTGTCTGCCTTTTCTCCTTGTATCTAATGGACTACTTTGGAAAAGCAAAAGGTACTGCTGCTTCTTTCTCAAGTATGACCAAGGTCCCTATATTGCAGGTTAATTTGTATGGGCAGATGCCTTCCTTAAAGGTCTAAACATTACTACTAGTAATCATTGTCCACAACTGTAAATACAGTAGAATGCTTGCACGAATATGTATATATAAATTTATTTGAAACGAGACGTTCTTCATGTACTGCAGTTATATGCTAAACGTTATTGCAGTTGTTACCTGAACAGTGTGGCTGAATGTTACTATTAAACAGAAATTATTGATGGGGTAATGTCTTAGCTGTCAGGATAACAAACGGTTTTTTAAAGCGCCTTGAGTCTGTTCACAGTTTCAAATAGCTACACAAAAGCTATGTATTGCCATTTTATGCTTTTTAAATTTTTGTAAACGCTTGTCTTTAGGATATGCACTTAAGGCTTAGGTTCTACTCCGTACCTGTGGTTCTTTTAATTATGATTTTTTTGTTTTTAAAGAAATTTTGAACATCTTATACCTGATGCTCCTGAATTGATCCATGATTTCTTGGTGAATGAGAAAGATGCAAGCTGCAAAAGAAATGCATTTATGATGCTAATTCATGCAGATCAGGTAAGGATACTTGTCCTCAAACTCGTTTGGTTTAAATACTTCAAAATGTGCTAGGTAACTAGCTAGTAGTTTGTCAGTAGTATGAGCTATTTATATTCATAAAAAAATGTTTATGGTAGTGTTAACCTACTTGTGGAATATTTGGTAAATGAAAAAGTTAAAGTAGGTCTTTGGCTCTGTCTTCATTTTAAAGGACAATTGCTGAATTTGGTGAAGGCATAGGTTGGTGCTGAAAACTGTGATTAGTTTTGCCAAGTGAGCTTAACCAGACTGAGAAGTGCTCCATTACCTACTGTTTTGTAGCTTTTGTAGTCACATGAGAAAGAAATGGCAATTTCTGTTTAGCATTTTAGGTTATTTGCTCTATAGGCAATTGCCTTTTCTGCCTGATTTCCATTAAATTTGTCTCTCTTTTTGCCATCTATGGGCAGAATGGATGAATTTGCTCTTCAGATTTACAATGTTTTCATAAATTGGTTTAAATTTCAAGTTGAAGGGTTGAATATATGCTGGTTTGTGTTTTGATTTTTAAAATGTGTCTTGATTTAAAATACAGCTGAGTGAGCAACTCAGAATAGTTTATCTTTCATTTGTATAGGATCGAGCTTTGGACTATTTGAGTACCTGTATTGACCAAGTCCAGACATTTGGAGACATACTGCAGTTGGTTATTGTTGAACTAATTTATAAGGTAAAAGGGAAATGTTGTGGCACATTTAAAATAAATGTATGTGTTAAATTATATCAGACTGCTTTTTAAAAGGAATAGAACATTGCTGGAAAAAGCATTATAGCTAACATTTAGTCCATGTCAGGAATATGTCATTCTTTAGTAGAGCTGAATAAGATTTGTCTCTTGAAACAATAAACTGCTCGAGTGTGCACAGTATAGAGCAATATGTCTCACCTGATTTGCTGTGATGTGTACTCTGCGTGATCAAACTATTCTTCGTGGATGCAAACAGGGCACCTGTTAGAGAAGCTGGTAGAGGCTATGCCCTTCCTTTTCATCTGAGATTTTAAAACCTTGTAGCATTGCATAGAATTGGCAGTAATAGCTTTTTAGTAGCTTTTGTAGTTAGATTTTTACAACTGTGAATGACACTTCTTATCCCCAGAAAAGGTTGTCATCTTTTGCTTAATTTTGGCCTTGTTGTAAGATAACGGAGCAGTTAAGCTGTACAACTGCTATTTTCTTTTTTCTTTATGTGCCAATTATGCATTGTTCTCCTTACCTAGGTCTGTCACGCAAATCCATCAGAGAGAGCTCGGTTTATTCGCTGCATCTACAACTTACTGCAGTCATCGAGTCCTGCAGTGAAGTATGAAGCTGCAGGTACCCTAGTTACACTCTCCAGTGCACCAACAGCAATCAAGGTATAAAAGTGATGTTTTCAGATGTCTCAGTAGCTTTTAGTGCACTGGAATGAATGTTCTATCCTGTACATTGATACTTTGGAAGAGTGAAGGCGTTAGTAATATGGGGTATTTAACACTTCCTATGTGAAACGCTTTCTTAAATTATCTCTTAAAATTGGTCACAAAAAAAGGCTGAGGCTGTATTTTGCAGACCTTCAGCTAGTGGATTTATGTCACTTTGGTAGGGGACAAGCTTGAATACTGTGCAAACTGTTGTACGATAGTTGGTACCAACCTGCAATGTTCTTAGCGTACTTCACAAAGCAGACTAAAGCTGAAGATTTACAGAGATTGAATGACTTTCTTTACTCATAAATACTACTCTTTTCAGACCGGGGTGGAAACATAAAGCAGGGAAGATTTACATTGATTAGTGATTGACCTTGGGTTCCTAAATGTATTTTTGTAGAGTTGATTGTTTGAGATCACACAGAAATTTTGAGCTTGTATGGAAATTTCAAAAATACACTATGCAGGTCTAGATTTAGAGTAAAAGCGTTGTAGTATCAAAAGATCAGGAGGAGTATTAATTCCAACATTCTTGCTTTAGCATAGTAATTTTTGTTGAGTAGGAATACTGTTCATAGAAGCTGTCATTAAAACCGTATCTAGATAGGCTGACAATGGCAACTGTTTTAAATTGATTTTCGTGTACTGAAGAGCTGACCCAAAGCATGCCAGGAAACCTCTCTGTGACTTCCTTTGAATTTGAAATCAAGTCTGTGTATTGTAAGCTGATGCCATTGTGAGCCTTCCTGTGTCATTTTTGTAACATGGTGTTGGAATCGATGTTTGCAGTGGACCAGGAAGTTTTAAAGACTGTTCTCAGGTTCATTTCTGTGCCAACTATTTGAGTAGTTGCTTTAATAGTAACGTAGAAGGTGTCTTTTCCTGACTTTCTCTCAGAAATTTGCCAGTTTCTCCTCTTTGTTACTTAAAAAATGTTTTTGATCCTTTTAATTTTAGGCAGCTGCCCAATGTTACATAGACTTGATTATTAAAGAAAGTGATAATAATGTGAAACTGATTGTTTTGGATCGGTTGATTGAATTAAAGGAGCACCCCTCCCATGAACGAGTGTTACAGGTATGTGAGCTGTCTCTTTTCCTGCAAGCTTATTGAGGACTTTTCTTTCCTAAAGAGAGCTTTTGGGTGTTGTGATATATGGAAAAATGTGCTTCTGCCGCTTAAATCTTCTGTTGATAAGTTTTTTTATAAAAATGTATTTGATGGACTTTTATGTTTATGATTTGCTGCTTTGATTGTCTGCATAAAAATCACAATGGTAAATGCTGTCTTGATTGTGAGATGTAATGATGTAGCTTGCATGGTAGACTTCCATGTAAATGTAAAATGTATTAAATAGACATTCCAAAGTTCCTGATGCCTAGGATATCTTGCTTGTTTGTCGGTAGATTGTATATTACATACGCAGGAAGTCTTTGAAAATCATTGAGGACTGAAAATTAGAATTGTATGAAAAGGAAGTCATTTAAAGCAACAAAGTAGTTATCATTTTGTTATTGTTTCAGGATCTAGTTATGGATATCCTCAGAGTGTTGAGTACCCCAGATCTAGAAGTGCGTAAAAAAACCCTTCAACTGGCTCTAGATCTTGTCTCTTCAAGAAATGTGGAGGAGGTAAAATATGTATTACTTTCGTTTCATTACACTATTTTTTTTATTCTTTGGAAAAATATGGGACTTCAATTTTATTTGATCTTTTCTGCAGCTTGTGATTGTTCTGAAGAAGGAAGTGATTAAAACTAATAATGTAACAGAGCATGAAGATACAGACAAGTATAGACAGCTGCTTGTTCGTACATTGCATTCCTGTAGTGTTCGGTTTCCAGATATGGCTGCAAATGTTATTCCAGTGGTATGCAAATGTTTAATTATATTGTCATTAAATATGTTCTAGTTGTACCCAAAAGCTGGATAATAACAGAAGTTGAGGTATTTCTAATAGTGGCCTCACACAAAGCAATACTGTTTTTAATCCCTAGAGAAATATAGGACTTTTGATGCTGTAGTTATTTGTCTTCTGAGACTTTTGTTTTTAAATATTTTTGAAGAACATGAGCTGAAGAGTACCTTTACTTAAAAGTGCAGTAATTTGTGTCGTTAGAAAAACAATTTGGGGATTATGATAATTTGCAATTAATTGGAATGTACTTAAGGTTGTTTGACTTCAGCTTTGTTTAATGGGAGATGTATATGCAGTTTTAATTTTCTGAATGTAGAAGGAAAATACTGTTCTACAAACTCAGCTGCGCTGCTGCTTGAGCTCACGTTCCCTCTTTTTGTGCTAGCTGATGGAGTTCCTTAGTGATAATAATGAAGCAGCCGCTGCTGATGTCTTGGAGTTTGTGCGGGAAGCGATCCAGCGATTTGATAACCTCAGACCTCTTATTGTTGAGAAGATGCTTGAAGTCTTCCACGCTATTAAATCTGTCAAGTGAGTCCAAAATACGGTATCAGCCACTGGAGCACCCTGTGGCTCACTTCCATTGAATGTATATAGTCATTAAACGTGTACCAAAATCCTTGCATTTTGGGGTAGATGATTTCTAGGTACAGCTTCTGTCTTGCCTACTTGTACAAAAGATATATTGGGTGCTTGTCGCGTTGAATGAAGAAAATAAATTTGAATTTCATTTTTATGATGCAATTGATAATTGTATTTCCACTTGCTAGAAGATAGCATTGTAGATGAAGGCCAACTCTGAAGTGATATATTTATTAAAGAAGAGTTACTAAGGGATTTTGCACTTGCAGGTGACTGGAAATACTGTATATTTATTAGAAAACCTAGTCTAACATAGACTGGGCTTTGCAATCTGCAGAGCTTCTTTAGTACCTTTCAGGTCTCAAAACTTGGTTTTCTGATGAATCTGCAAAGGTGAAGTCATATGAGAACTTCTCTGTATTAAGACACCACTCTGCCATTCTTCTAGTACCCAGGAAACTGAATCCTAACTCCATCGTCGTCTCATTAAGCAGGGCAAAAAACTTCTGAAGCTTTGCTATTTTTTTTTCCTAATCTTCATTCATGTTCTTGTTTTCTATTTTCTCCTGTATGAAGGAAAAGTTAGTTTTTCTCAGTTAACTGGAGAAATTACAGCTGACTTGATTCACATACAGTACAGTTATTTCATTATGATCATAATGAAATTTAATTTTGCGAATATCAAGATTAAGACAGATGAGAATAAATTTGTAGCAGAGGATACGTCTCGTTTGATGTTTACTAAGGCTGAAAGGATGATCGCTCTTGATAGAACTTGCTTTCTGTCAGTAGCATCCTTCTGAATTTGTCAAGACTGGCCTTTACCACCTGGCTGTAAATCACTTCCCCTGATGCTAGTTTGAGTATATCGTGAAAGCACGACTTAAGTTGCTCTTCTTGTCTTAGGATTTATCGAGGAGCTTTATGGATCCTTGGAGAATATTGCAGCACAAAGGAAGATATACAAAGTGTAATGACAGAAGTTCGCAGATCACTTGGAGAGGTGTGTTTACTTTGTTAGGCTAGCTCTTTGTGGCTCTACTTAAAGTTACGCAGTGTGTTTTCTAAGAAAAAGATATTTAAAAAAAATTCAGGTAAGATGCAACAGGGTTTTGAGCACTTGTGATATGTAATGGTATGTGCACAAGAAATCTAAAGTAAAAAGTAGTTAGGGTTTTGCATTCGTAATTATTTTTTCTTTTTTAAGTAACGTACCTGAATCTAGCATATACTGAGAATAAGTAATACCTGTTAGGAGATGAGAAATTCCATATTTCAGAAAATTATGGCACCTTTCAGATACAATTTAATTAAATCCACTAAGATCTGAGGGGAATCTAAGACAATCTGTGCAATGTGAACTTTATGCATTGGTAGGAGGCTTCTGTGTATATTTCAGCATCTACCTGTCTCCTCAAATTCTCTCAAAATTGTTGCATTGTAACTGACCTTTTACTTGTAAAAACCTTAACGATGAGGATAATTTCTGTTAAAACCTACTGCAGGACAAAAATGCCTGTTTTTATATTAACTGTAACAATTGTTTACTGTTCATTTCTAGATCCCAATAGTAGAGTCAGAAATCAAGAAAGAAGCTGGTGAGCTAAAACCTGAAGAAGAGGTGTTTGTCGGTCCAGCCCAAAAATTGGTGACAGAGATGGGCACTTATGCAACACAGAGTGCTCTCAGTAGTTCCCGACCTGCCAAAAAGGAAGAAGACAGGTATTTAAGATTTCATATTAGGCCAGGAGTGACTTGATTAATTCTTGGTTTTTTTGAAGTGGTGTTCTGCTCTTGTGCAGAGTTTAGTGGTTGAGGTAATTCCCAGTTTTAAGGTATGATCCCAAGTACATGGTATCTGATAGGAAGCTGCCTAATTGCTTAGGATTTGTAATCAAAGCTTACTGCATGTCAAAAAGGACATTCTTAATTATGTTTTCCTAAATTCTAGATCATTTGTTATAATTTATGCGTAAGACCTCTCACAATTTTAATTGGATACAGAGATGTTGCCTGTAGACTAAAACTTTTTTTTCTTGATACCACCTTGCGCTATTTAATATTTGCTATAGTTTATTTCACTAGTAGCTAGAACAATTGCTGTATTTCCATAATTAGTGCAGATGGGCTACTTGGTCTTGACTAGTCATTATCGTCTCAGAGCTACAATGAAATTATTATCCGTTACGCTCTTCACTTCACTCCCTGTTCTGTGTGGAAAAGCCTATGTGACTTGTGAATCTCTCTATATCTGGAAAATTACTTCTATAGGGGAAAAAAACCTTTTGAGACCTTTCAAGCTTGTTTTGTTTGTACAGTGTGGACGTTTAGGTATGAAGATAACTAGGCTAAAGAGTGTAATCCAAAACTAGTTTTCTGATTATCATTTGTCTTTGCAGACCTCCCTTACGAGGATTCCTGCTTGATGGCGATTTCTTTGTTGCAGCTTCTCTTGCTACAACTTTAACTAAGATTGCTTTACGATATGTGTCACTAGTTCAGGAAAAGAAGAAACAAAATGTAAGTCATCCATTTTATTTTCACTGTAGTTGCAAAGAGCTGGTTGTTGCCTCTTTTCGTTTAAATGAAAGCAAAATGGGTTAAGTCCGAAGTGAAGTGCCGGTTACGTGATTGGATAATAATGATAATTTGGGTCACAAACAGGGCCTACTGCTTTCCAGCCACTTTATCTAGACAGTCTCTAAGTCATGCTTCTTGGTTTCTAGATAGTAAGTACTAAAAAAATAAGTAATCAAATCATAAAACCTCTGAACAGATTTTTGCACCTTTTTGAAAATAAGTTGGAAATAAACATTTCAGTAAAGCTGTGTAAAATGCAGTAACCTTCCATTCTCTTCCCTTTGTCCTCCTTCTCAGTCCTTTATTGCTGAAGCTATGCTGCTGATGGCCACTATTCTCCATTTGGGAAAGTCTTCTCTTCCCAAGAAGCCAATTACAGATGATGATGTGGATCGTATTTCCTTGTGTTTGAAAGTTTTGTCAGAGTGTTCTCCTCTCATGAATGATATTTTCAACAAAGAATGCAGGCAGTCCCTCTCTCATATGCTGTCAGCCAAGCTAGAAGAAGAGAAACTTTCCCAGAAGGTGAGCTATTGTAAGTCTGTAACCATAGACGCTTGGAATTCTTTACAGATGTTCCCATCCAAGCAGGTCCCAGAAATGTCGCCATTTGACTGTAAGTCGGCCATTATTTGACTGTGTTTCTGTGTTAAGGAATGGAATTCATCATGAATTCTTGAATGTTTCTCTTCCTGCAGAAGGAATCTGAGAAGAGGAATGTGACAGTTCAGCCAGACGATCCCATTTCCTTCATGCAGCTTACTGCTAAAAATGAAATGAGCTCAAAAGAAGACCAGTTTCAGCTTAGCCTTCTTGCAGCAATGGGAAACACACAGAGGAAAGAGGCTGCTGATCCTCTTGCATCCAAACTTAATAAGGTAATGTGAAAGTCAGTTTTAATTATATACCCTTTGTGCTGCTCACGCACAGGATCAGCTTTGGGAATCACAGGCTGGAACTGATGAACCAGGCTATGCTGGTTGATTGGAAAGACCCAGGTGATTCCTGGTTAGGATCTGAAGAAAGAGAAAATCCCATGTGCTTAAAGTTGTGACCTTCTTCACGTGGGAGGGGAAGAATAAGGAGGAGACTTGAAGAGTGCTAAGCTGGTGGGATGTGGAGAAGAAATTAAGATTGTTCGCTGGTCTGAAGAGCCCGATAAGGTTCATAGGGAAGAGAGTTGTCACCAGTGATTAAAAATCCTGTTCTTTCTTTGGCTGCCATATCCTATTGCCAAGTGCAGTGCATCCTTGTTTCACTCTATACCTTTTTTTGCTTCTGATTACCTGCAGAGAAGGTCCAAGGAGGGAAAAAAAAAATCGCTTGATTGATTCATTAGTTAGGGCTAAAAACCCAGACTTCTATTCTTCAAAAGCCTGGATGAATTCTTCTTACTGTTTGAAGTTACCTTTTCATTTTAAGTCAGCGTTTCTTTGTCCTGCTGATCCTTTTAAGAATAAATGGCATGACAGTCCATATTTCAGTAACTTACGTGAATTCAGTTCAGAATACATTTCATCTGGAAAGGTTATATAATTGTAGTGTGTACACAAAAGGACATGTGAAGGAAGGATGCAGTTAAATTTATTTGTATGAATTAATACGGACAGTCATTGTGTGTTTAGCTATAACTCAGTGCAGTCTGTTTATTTTGGAAGACTTATGCATGAACTTTAGGTTTCCTAAACATCACAACTTCTTTAAATACTATTTTCCAGGCAAATCTTGTGGTGATAGTTTGCAGTGTTTTTCCAATTTTCAGGGTGGTTTTTTTTCCCGTTTTTTCTTACTGGTAAGTGAGGTCAGTGAAATTAAAATTGCAATTCATTCTTATTTTTTTGTCTTTGTTTGACATGATTTCCATGTTTTAAACTGTTTTATGAGAAGAAAAATACCTCAAGCTCCTTTCTTTCACAGGTTACTCAACTAACAGGTTTCTCAGACCCTGTCTATGCAGAAGCATATGTCCATGTCAACCAGTATGACATTGTGCTGGATGTGCTTGTGGTGAACCAGACCAGTGATACTCTGCAGAACTGCACACTAGAACTAGCTACGCTAGGTAAGGACAACTGGTGGAAACAAAGCAACTGTTGAGCAGCAGTGAGGTACTGGGCATTGGCACCCAGTTGCGACGAGTTTCTGAAACACTCCTAAATACTTAGACGCTTATGCCAGCTGCTTGCCATTTTGAAAGGATGTTTTTGAATGCCTTTAAAAATATATTTTTGTTCCAGAAGGTGCAAGACTTGTATCTACTGGCACTGACAATACTATCTGACCATATAAATCGTAGTCAGATTTTGAACTTTTTCTTGTTTTTTTCCACTGGAAAATAGCATTCCATTTCCCCTTCTCCCTTTTTTTCTGAAATATGGACAGTTTTTCTGATATACTGTTAGCATAGAGCAAGAGGACAAAATCCAAACTGGTATGGAGCAAATGTCAGGCAACAGAAAGCCATCTGCCCTAGGTGGTTCTTGCACTCAGCCTGAAGCACTTAAATACTGCGTTTACTCAGCTGAAACCATTCCCTGTACCAACAGCTGTACCAGAGGCTTGCTTGAACAATATTGAGACTTCATTAACTTATTTTAGGGGAGGGACTGGAACAGATAATCCAAGAACAGTAACCACTTTCATGTTAGTTATCCTCTATTTTGGCAGTCAGAAGTTGAAATAAGTTTACAACATACTAGGAGTACGCATGTTATATACTACTAATTGATGTAAATATGACTGGAGGGGTGTAACTTCCTACTAATCTTTTGTAAATCATTTGATCAGACTAATGATGGAGATAAATAAATCAAATGTATTACTTAATAGGTTGTAATTTGCTATTTATCAGCTCAGTAAAGTGGAATTCTCTATTTCCCAGTTGGTGTCTTCAGTTACAGTGCAAAAACTAACTTCACGCATCACTCTTTTGTGTAGAGCTGGTGCTGTTCGTGCTGTGTTCTCAAATTCCACAGTTTGATAGAACTAAGGAGTCTTTTACGATTGCTTGTTAAAGGATTAGGAAAAATACATCTGTCACTGTTTCCTGGGAGTAATTACATTCAAAATCAAGGTGATACTTTGACCTGTTTGTAAATAGCTTCGTGCATGTAATACTGGACGTCGAACTTTGGTTTTGAGGCACTTGACTGTAGGATTAGGTATTATGTTGTCAGTGATTAAAACACAAGGAAGAATTAACCATTTCCTGACTGTTAAAAAATTTAATACTAGACTCAATCCAAAGCCCAATTAAGTCAGTATTTACACTTGTTTTCATTGGGGTTTGGGTGAATACACTAATATTTTAACTGAAGTTTTTAACATAATGTAAATTATTTTGTCTTTCAGGTAGGAAACTGTAAAAAAAACCAAGCAAACAAAAAAAATTGCAAATCAACTAATACCTTTATGGTAATATTTAGTACAACTTTGTAGACACTAGAATTGAATCACAAGAAAATAAAAAAAATTTGTTCTAAAAGCTAAACTTACTGTGTACTGTTAATGTTCCCTGATCCCCATCTCCGAATTTCTTTATACAGGTGACTTGAAACTTGTGGAAAAACCGTCTCCTCTGACACTTGCTCCACATGATTTTGCAAACATTAAAGCTAATGTCAAAGTCGCTTCAACAGAAAATGGAATAATTTTTGGTAATATTGGTAAGTAAACAATTCCGTGTGCAAAATTAACATTCAAGTGTAGCATACCTTAACTGCTTAATGAGCTCAAAAATAATTAAAACACTGTATACTGGAAGAGGAAATTAAATGGTCTACAATGTATGACTATTTTGTGATGATTTTTAAAAAATTTGTCACTTTTACTGAAGATCATAGTAGAGCATGCTACCTTTTAAATGATTGTCAGCATGACAGTTGAACCCAAGACTCTGAATTTTAAATGAGCTAGGCAGCTTTGCCTGAAAAACCGAAACAGTTAACTCAAAGTTTTGTGGCAACTGGGTAAACCACTTGAAGAGGACAGAGGTCAGCAACAAGACTGAGCAAGTATTCACTCTTGTTAACTGGCAGGTGGTAACTGAGCGCTCTTACTTAGTGCAAATTCACTTTTTTTAAACGTTAAGGTGGCTTGTGTTTTATATTGCAGTGTATGATGTCTCTGGAGCAGCCAGCGACAGAAACTGTGTGGTTCTCAGTGATATTCACATTGACATCATGGATTACATCCAGCCTGCTTCTTGTACGGATGCGGAGTTCAGACAGATGTGGGCAGAATTTGAGTGGGAAAACAAAGTTAGTTTTACTTTTTGTATGTTATTTGGAGTTTTTTGGTGATGAGGTATAATTCTGTTTCTTGTTTCTACATCAGGTCGTTACATCAACATTATCTCTTGTGATATAAACCTCATTCAACACCCACATTGGATGTTGGCCTCCAGTAACTCATTCTCTTACTGTTATTTTATCTGTTTCACAAGCTTAGTGATGCAATTACTAGTTCTCTTACAAAAGAGGTGTGTGTGTTGAGCCTTACCTCCTGTGCAGAAGGTGTCCAAATAGCTTGGTGGTTGCTGTGTATTTCAGCTCAAATGTGACATAGCAACAAGTTTATGCTGGATCTGCATAATTAGTTATACTGCTTACCTTCTCCAGTTCTGAATTACATTGGGGTTTTTTTTGGGTTTGGTTGTTTTGTTTGTTTTTTTTTTTAAATCATAGAATGGTTTTGGTTGTAAGGGACCTTACAAAGGTCATTTAGTCCAACCCCCTGCTGTGGGCAGGGACATTTTTCACTTTATTACTTTGCAATACAGCTGTAGCATACAGAGTGGTTACAGATGCTACATAAGACCAACAAAATAGTACGTACACTTAATATTAGAGGGTGCCCAAAGTGTTAGTTACAGACCTGTTAAAAAAGGGTTTAAGGGACATAATCTCATGCAACAGAGCAACATAATTTAAGAATAGAGTAGAAACATTAAAACAGAAGGGAGATATTTTACACAAACTGTACTCACTTGAGCGTGGATTTAAGTTTCCTCAAAGGGAACTTGTAAACAATAAATTTTAATCCATAACATGTGAAGCTTTAGCAATTTGTACACTACGCCTAAAAGATGTGTTAAGAAGCAATTTAAACGAGACCCACGATAGTCAATATGAGGAATCCAACACAGCCCAAAGCGCTTTGTTGCTAGAAGGAAAATATGAAAGTAATTTTTGCCATTGGTTAAAAGCAAGCTTTTGAATGAGATACCATTTTTTTCTTAAGCCAGCAATGTGTAAACTATATAGTAGAAAGTCTCTATGTTCAGCAGAGTATCATATTCACCAAATACATTTTAGAAACCATGGTCATAGCATGGAATTCCCACACTTCCACAAGTGGATGGCAGGAGGTGAAGAATTTGTATGATGCCACCACAAAGCGTGATTTGGAGCTAGCTTACTGAATATGGTTCCTCGAGGAGAAATGTAGCAGTAATCTTCTTTGTATAAAGAAGAGATGGTTTCAGAAATGGCCAAGATGCTAATTAAGGTAATTGTCGGGTTTTTTCCCTTCTTGAAGGTTACAGTGAATACTAATATCATTGATCTAAATGAATACCTACAGCACATACTGAAGTCAACCAATATGAAATGCCTGACTCCAGAGAAGGTGAGCTATTTGCTTGAAGACTTTTAGACACCTTTTTTAGTTTGTGTGCTTGTTTACAATATGAACTAGTAAATAAATGTCAAAGTTTTTAAATGAATGCTCTGAAATGAGTAAAAGCAAGTTAATGTCAAAATTCTGTGTCACATAATCACTTCAACTATTTCTTAGCTAAACTGTAGTATAGAGTTGATGGAACTATGTTTTTATACAGGGTTTTTTCTGGTGACTCCAAGTTCCTTACTTCTCTGTCAAAATCTGTATTTCTTGTGCTAATTTAGCCTTTTTGTTGTAAAGCAAAATATATATATACACAATAGCTATTTGCTTCTAAGATATAATATATATAGTAACTACTAGCTAATATATGCATAGTAGCCAAAATAGGTATAGTAGGTGTTGCTACTATTTAGCTTCTTTACCATTATGCTGTTCATTAAATCGGATCAGAAAATGCCATCCTATCTTGTTTTGATGAATATTGTAGATTGCAAATCTTTCGATAATAATTTGAGAAAAAGGCCATCACTGTTTCCCATTGTGTAATTCTCACGTTTTAAAAAAATGCTGTATGCAAAGAAAAAAGTTTAAATGTTAAATACTGATATTTGCCTAGCTATATATAGGATGAATTAAAATGTGTTTAAAGGATTTTGGCCTTTCTAAAGAGTTCAAATATGCTTTTTGTAGGCACTTTCTGGTTATTGTGGCTTTATGGCGGCCAATCTTTATGCACGTTCCATATTTGGAGAAGATGCACTTGCAAATGTCAGCATTGAAAAGCCAATTCACCTTGGACCAGAGGCTCCTGTCACTGGTCACATACGAATCCGTGCAAAGAGCCAGGTAATGTGCCTTCTATTTAGAGTGCTGTTTCTCCTTGCCATTTTTAAGAAAATGTACTGAGCACTTGGGAAAAAAAAAAAAAACCTTGCAAACTTTTGGACATTAGTTAGTTTCTAGTATTAGGTAAATGGGAAGATTTTTAGAGACGATAAATATAGAAACTTCAGCCTTAGTTTTAAAAAACTGTCTTATACACATTTTGTGAGGAAAGAATGGCTTTTAGTTGGGTGTAATCATACCCTAAAACTACACTGTACATCTCTCCCAGTGCATTATCATAAAATAGGCATTTGGGCCAAGTTTTTCTTATTTTATCCATAGCACAGCAAATAGGATAGTGTACTTGGTTTGCTTTTAAATGAAAAGCAAATGCTCCTCAAGGTTCCATGATCTGTTTCATTTCCATATAACAAGAAAATTTTATGCATGTAACTGCTGTTCACTGGTTCTTTTTAAAAACAACAAAACAAGCCCAAATTCTTTCAGTAGAATTATTTTCTAAAGGTACATCTATGAGCCTGCTTTGGATTTTAGAACTTCTACCTTCTGACTAAAAAAAGTACAAAATTTGGAAATGTGTAATAACAAAATAGCTGATGTACCAATGAAAGCATTTTAAACAGCATACAACAGAGGGCTGCCTGAGAATCTTCACATTCAGAACATAAAACCACTTAGTTTATGTGATGTTGTCGTAAAGATTTCAGAGTGGTTTAAATTAAGGTTTCTGATATGTTTACGTGGCATTTTTACATCAGACTGCATTCAATTCTATATTCGAGCTTAGTTTCACCTTGAGCTTATTCTGGTGTTGATGAGGTGGTTTTATTTGTGCAGTTTCTTTTAAAATTTCTTCAGGTGCTTTGCAATATTACTATGGTTCTGTGGTTAAATTATTTTCTGTAGCTTTAGTGCACTGAGTGCTAGTATCAGCACTGAGACTTTCCACAGCTGAATTTCAGTAACTGGACTGTCAGTTGTAATTTTTTTCAGTGGCAGCATACTTTCAACTGGTGGGAGGTCAAAAGGCTTACATTTTTAAATTTTTCGGCCTTTTGTATTGACAACAGATTTAGCAGTTGCTAGCTCAAATTTAAGTTTCATTATTTCAATAATACATGTAGATCTAGCTTTTACCTAGTGTTAAGAAATTGTACGCCATAATGTGTATAAATAAATGAACAGTTAGAAATACTTTTATTTCCATGCCACTAACTTCATAGAATTCTGTATATGGAACTCCCATTTTAATATAGATAAAGTTACTCTGAAGTATCTGTGTCATGAATGTTGTCTTTCTTTTCCTTACAGGGAATGGCCTTGAGTCTTGGAGATAAGATCAATCTGTCTCAGAAGAAGACAAGTTTATAAATTTTCCCTAATGTCTTTTCAGGTCTTTTACAATTTAACCTTAGGTATGTGGCTTTTGGGATCCAGAACATCTTATATTCTTCAGTATTCTATAATTGTAGAAGCCAAGCTTTTGAGCCTAAAGCATTCCAGCAGAGAATTAATAGGTTCTCCATGATTGATACTGAACGAAATTTTAAATTTCCAGATTCTTTTCTTTGTCCTGGAAGTCATGTTTTCTTTGTCTCTAATATATACTGATGCTCACAGTACAATAAACAAATTATGCCAGTACGGTTTTGTCTGTAAATTATAAACTCTGTGTTATTTGATCAGTACTGAGTATCTGGTGGGGTATTTTGATACTCAATTATATGAGAGAAAGAGAGTGTGTATAACAGCTTAAGTGTTTACAATAATGACTAGGCCTGGATTGTGTGAATGTGTGACCATGACTCTCAAAATACCTTGGTATACCTAGGAGAATATATATATATTTGACAACTAAATCAAAGGCTGTATATTCTAAATCGTTAGTTTAGTACTGGCACAGTCAAGCCTGTAATACCAGAAAAGAGATTGTCAACACTCAGCTCTTTCCAGCAAGTAGTTAGAACCTTAAACTTTGTTTCTGAAATGCTTTCCTAATAGTGTTATCGTGAGTAACGTAACATTGCTGGTGTTCTTACTTTTTAGTTAACACAAATGGAATATTAAAGCTGTAGCAGCGTAAGCAGTATTTTCAGTGAATGCAGCTGTTAGCCACATGTGTAAGCTCAGGGAGGGAGGATTCAGACTGATTATGATCTTGCAGTGAATTGAACCAAGCCAAGGAACTGTGGAAAAGAAAGAATTGTGAGTGAATGTCGGGTCAAGATGTGGAAGTGAGTTAACACCATTTGGCTACTAAATGTTATGCAAATTAGCAGTAGATTAAAACATACAACCATTAGATTGAAAATACTTTTGGCTGAATCTGTTAAGCATTAATTCTGAATTTGTTAAATTGTTGCTTGTCATTAATTCTATAGAAGAGTCCCCAGAGCCAACAGCACTCTTCCAGTTGGCAGAAAGTCCTGCTGCTGAAGTTGAACAGCTGTGTCCTGCTCCAAGAGGACAGAAGAGAATGGAGTTAGTATCCTGAGTAGCTGATTCCCAAAACATTTAAGGCCTCTGTGATGAAAATACCTATTTTCCAGTCTGAATAAGCACAGGAAGGAGCACACCTGTGAATTCTGAAATGAAAGAGTCTAGGCTGCTGTATTTATCTGGCTAAAGGATAGCCCTAGAAGTACAATGCAAAAACTGATCTAATAAGTGACATTCATATAAATACTTCATTACCTGTTCCTCCCAATGCTACCTTCTGCCAAGTAGCTTTGGTCTGTTCTTGTAAGTGTTAGGTTCACTTTTCATTCTAATCCAATCCTTAAGCTTGGGTGCTGGAAGGAAATAGTTTGCCCATAGTAAAAAATGGGGCAGATCTGTCAACAGCTAAAACTTTGCACTGATGCAGCTGTACAGTTCCGAATTTTTAGTACATAAAAATCATAAAATCAATAGAAGCCTGCTGGCGGTAGTTGTTTTTTTAAGCCATTGTCCATCAAAGCCATGCTGTATCTAACAGTACCGAAGTGTGCACACCTCTATTACAGACAAGCCTGTACACCTGCTAAGGCTATGTCTTTTGCTGAATATTCTAGATTCAAAATACGTGACTTCCAAAGTTATGGTGCATTTACTTTACTGTTTTCTCATAGGCACACACCTCACGCTTGTTACATACAATAAGAAAAAGGAAAGGGTCCTGGATAAACAAGGCTGTTGCCGTGAGTTTGTCTGAGCAGAGGAAAAACAACTTGAAAGTAGCTTCTGAAAGCTCTGATTACATTGTGGACTTCGGTGAGCATCCAATATGGTTGTGAAATGTACAGGTCACAGTAATGTATGTTTCGGGTATAAATACTGTGGACACTAAGTATTATGATGATGTGATTTTTTAAAACCTATACCTGCTCTAGTGGGGCATTTTCAGCTCTTGTACTCCAGTAGATGGGTCAAAGACAGTAAATCAGTAAGGCAGTGCAACATGTTTTTGCCGAGTGACCTGTTTATCTTGCACGTTTTGAAATCCCTTTGTGGTTCTGCCATTATTTTGCTTTTCAATGGAAGCTCCAATTCATGCATCACATGATGCCAGCAGGAACTGAAGTTCTGGATATGCAGGTCTGCCTTGATAATGAAGTTATGTCTCTACATGATCTCACAGCAGTTGTATTACAGTCTGTGAAGTTACGCCAGATTCACAAGGATATAGTAGAGGTAATCAGAATGCATAGTACTTCATAATTTGAGGGGGACGATGGGGGAAAACGATAGGAGTGTGATGTGTGTGCTCTCCTGTGGAATTCCACGCATTATTGGTATGCTGCTTGGGGGTGCGTGGGGGGGGATTTTATTCTCTAATCACTTTAAGCCAAAACCAAGTGAAGAAAATCTGAGGACTCTGGTGAATGGTTTCATCTCTGCAAAGACATTGTGATTAGCAGGATGCTAGCAGAGATTGAGTCTTAGCTGTGTGTATACTGACCAGTGTGAATGAGATGGATTTGCTGACGACAGCCAAGCAAAGGATGTTTTTGGAGAAGGAGGATGACTTCAGTATCTGTTAGCCAAGCCCTGTTTCAGTCACAATCTGCTGTCCTCGCTGGAGAATAGAAAAACATCTTGGCATGTGTGGATACCCATATTTCATGCGACTCTTAGTCAGCTGGGAGGGGCACATCATTTAACTTCGTTTAGGATATCTTTTGCTATCAGAATTTTATGCAAGGACACAAGAACACCTGTTCAGCAGAAGCTCCCATGACTTTAGGATTCATTTTCCACCCATCATGCTTTTCAGTATCTCTCCTGCAGAATTGGGTCTTGTACAGAAGTTTTCACTGATGGTATGCATTTTTTCAGTAGCCTGAGCACTAAAAAAAATTAGATACATGTTTCATGTCTATACTTCAGAGATGAAATCCTGTCCTTTTATATATATCCTATTGTGTTTTGGCTAAGCTTTTGCTCAGTAGCTCAGATAATAGGCGGATTTTGGTTCAGAGCACCTTTCTAAAATAGCTTTTGTGCCCTAAAGACAGAGATTTTCTGTGTCTGTCTGTGTACACAGACAGGATTCTCCAGTTGTGTCGTTCTAGAGTGCTGGTCCTCTGGTCTTCAGCCACTCCTGGGCTGACCCATGTGGTCAGTTCCCTTGTCACTGCTTAAAAAAACTGTGACAACTACCATAACCACTTACAGGGAAAGGAAATAGGAGGAAAGTCGATGTATGATCATCAAGGTTTCCGTGAGGATTAGCAATTGTGAGCAAATAGGAGACCTGAGAACCACAGATGCACCATTGATCGCTTTAGGAACTGCTGTTGGAAGGAGAACTCTTAAGTAGTTGCTATTGAAGTGTTTGAACAACATTAATGGGGTGCAAAGCATTTCCTAGGTAGTAGAGAACTGTTCTGCATACACAAAAAACTATGCTACTTCAAGATCCGCTTACAGCTTTTTCATTGCAGCAAAACTTCGAACGAGCTAATGTATAGCTGTGGCTATGCTGTATTGTTCAAAGCTTTGTGCGAGGAGGTCACTAACCTATTCCCTGCGCAGAAGGTAAGTGTATTGAATACACTGTGCTTGAGTAAGGTAGTGTTATTCCACAACTCTGACTTCAGCAACTTGGGTAAGAACAGGAATTAAGTTCCCAGTAGGAGTAAACAGAGCAAGAAAACTCACTGCTTTTCCACTGTAAGTTTTAGAAAGTCATCGCACGATGCAGCGCTGGCACAGCAGGAAGCAGGTTTCTCCGATGTCCCTGTTCCCAGTGTAGAGTTGCTGCAAGCTGGGGCCAGATTTCTTTATTCACGGCCCAATAAGGGGCCTATTTAGGTGATACATGAGAAAACAGGAATGTTTATCTGATGACTGGCATTGATAAATAGGTGACTCTCAGTTACCTAGGAGGGGAAGGGGTCATCCCAAGAAAACATGAAGGTAGGTAATATAAAACAAGTAAGACCATAGGAGAACATAGTTTGTATATTGAGCTTTAAAAAGATTTGTAAGTGGTTTTTCTCAGAAATGTGAAGCCTCACGTGAGGGGGATTCGCTCTGCATAGCGTGCTTTTTGGCACAGAACTGCAGCTGGAGTGTTGAGGAAAGACCCAGCCAGTTAATCCACGTCTTGGGTAATGTGCATGGTAATACCTGTCAGTTAGCTGTGCCCTGTCACAAATTTAGGGGTTTTATAAAAAGTTTGTAAAATTTCCATGTATTGCTACTCTAGGGGGTGCTGTCTCACAACTGATAAGAAATTTTGATAGAAGTTTTTTTTTTTTTTTTAAAGTCTTAAGAGGAAGAAAGTAAAGGATGTGCTGCAGGCTTCATCATAAAAGCAATACAGGGAAATTCTGGCCCCCTCTTGGGGTCACTTCCCGTTGTTTTTTGTATGTTTTCAGGTTGCCTAGCTATGTATAACTAGCACACAGTAATGCTGACAGCTCAGATTGCTAATGTAGTACATCTGTTTGAACGCTGCCTTTTCTCTAGAGATTTTACTTTTCTGAAGTGTAATGAGATAGATTTGGCCCCAAGAGGATCTCCTGTTTGAAAGACATGATAATGAGTTCATTAGGAGAGGGATATAGGTGAAATACAGGAAATTCTAACTGTGACTTTGCCTGTACATTTATAATACTCATCTAGGCAATTTTTTGTTTGCGCAAAGCCATAAATACCCATCTTCACTAGATATTTCTCCTGATTTTTTTGTGTGTTCTGTAGCTTGTAATTTTAACCTTTTCCAAACTCTGTGTATCACCTTTTGATTGCGTCAGTGCAGTATATTTCATCAGAATGATCCATGATTGCCAAGAATAGAATGGAATTGCTAGCAAAAATGCAATTTATGTTTTGAAAGATCAGCATAATTCTTATAGCTATGGATCGTAGACATTTTATAACTGAGTTACATTAATTTGGACGTTGTCAAAACCACTTATTTTACATAGGTATAAAATCTGCAGCTTCTGTGGCTTGCAAGTCCCTATTTTGCTCTTTCTATCCCTGGAATTTCACTTAGGGAAAGCAGAACAAACTAAGCCTGTTGTTATCCTGGCCCCAAGCAAGAGCAGAGTTAGTGGGTCTCGCTGTTCCTACGTCCTATTCACGGTGTTTTTCAGGTTTGAGGTTTTGTGTTTTCCCTGTCGCACCTGATCAAAGGTCTAGTCTTTTACAGCAGGTGGTCACACTAGCACCTTTTCATTAAAGATGTGGTCTCTTCTTTTTCTAAGCTCTTACAATACCATAGAGTTGTAAGAATGTTATTATGCTTCTGATTTTAATTAGTTCCAAAGTTTAGAAATTACATTTAACTTCTGTTTTTAGAAAGATTAAGAAACCATTTTCTTTTACAGAAATGATAATTTTAAATTTCAAAATGCAGCAATGAGTTTTTAATCCAATCTTTTAGAATAACTGCTGTCGCTCATATTCACACACACAAAAGAATTATTTCCACTGTGTTGTCCTTAAGCTATACATTATATAGGCATACGTAAATATTTTATTAAAGTGTAGAAACTTCGCTCTAGATGAGATTCCCCGTGACCTTTACTTTTGGCCTTTCTTGATTTTTAATATTTATGTTACTGACAACCGTAGATCTCATGTACTGTCCAAGACTAACATGACGTGTTGCATAGGCATCCCTGCTTTTAATTGTTTTTCAAATGAAATTCTGTCATTCTTTCCAATAGCCACTGAGTTCAGCGTGGCCAGTTTCCCCTGTGAGCGATGCCTACTGAAACACATGAAAGGGTTGTTCATATGCAGAAACAGATACCATTTAGCAGTAAATTATTTTTTGAGGCCAGGAATAGTGAATGAACGGTGCAGGCAAATGTGACGCCTATCTTCAAGAAGGGCTGGAAGGAGGATCCGGGGAACTACAGACCAGTCAGCCTGACCTCAGTACCGGGGAAGATTGTGGAGCGGTT